TTGAACGTTAGCGCTTGTCTTTTCTATTTGTAGGCAAATACAATTGTGAGTAAACATCGCCTGATCTGAACATATCATTGTGAAAGAACGCTTTGAATCACTGAATACGTTAGCGAATAGTCATTCTATTGGTGCGGGATACAAATACAATAAGTAAACATCGATTGACATATCATTGTGAATATGCTTGAGTTACTAAAAACGTTAGTGATGGTAACACTTCTATAGTGAAAAACGAGAGTATTCAAATGGCGTGGCTCATATCATTGTGAAAATATGCTTTGACTTACAGAATACGTTAGCTATATTCCTTCGATTGGTGCAGGATGCAAATACAATAGTGAGTAAACACTGATCAACATATTGTAACCATCTGGGTTTAAGCTTAAAGTGGTGTGCAACACATATCTACCAGCCAACTTGTCAACCAAATTTGGGCTAAAAAATGCGGACGGATCGTGTGAAATTAAAAGATCTGCAGTTGGGATTTAGTACACGTACCTTGGCCAGGTTGTACAGCCTATAATATCCCCATTTATGGTTAGAAACGGGAAGTTATACGGCCGGTAGGCAACCAATGTTTTGACGATTATTGCCATACAGCTATTACTATGGGATAACAACTCATTATAACTACCACTCTCAATAGTAGGAAGACAAGTATGGACTTTATTGTTCAGCGTAGAACTTCGTTTTGTTGGATCTTGTAATTGTGCCTGGAACTGAGTATATTGTGCTTACCTACCCAGATTTCTCTAGTCGCTTGGTTGTCCTTCGTATCCATGGTATTGTTCCATTGCTTTATTGTTTCGCTTTATTGTTTCGTTCATTCCTTTTCTTTTCTTCCTTTGATGTCTCGCATTGAGCACTTGCTCCGAACCTTATTTCAGTTTTTATTGACTTGTTTGTTAAGCATGCTAAATAAATCGGTGTACCTTTCCACTAAAAGCCCTTTCGTTTTATTGGCAGCATCACATAGAGTGAGATTTGTTAAATACATTATCGCCATAAGTTCCACTTTTGCGGCAATCACGCATTTCGATCACAGCAATGGATTATTTTTGAACAGCCGACTTTTAAATAACATCATCTGCAGTATCATTATTATACGTTAAGAAAAAACAAGATGCTTGTAAACGTTTAGTAATAGGTTTAGACAATCTTGGTAGTAATAACTATAGATAAAATGGTTGAACTTACCAAATGCATGTGTGAATGTTGCTATGCAGAAAACGTTGATTACAAACAATGGTCTTTTGTTTTTGTAAGCATTTTCCTCGATTAATCATGTTTAATTTCATTATACAGATAACATCGCACATTTACTTCATTATTATTACACAGAGAAGTATCAGAGTGCATGACGTTTGCCATTTAGAAAGTTTATTCAATAACATTATAATACTTATAGATATTATTTACGATCAACGGAATACTATTTCTTAAAGGCCTTCCTTTTCAGATTTCCCCATCTTACTTTCCTCTATCTAACACCTCTATTTGATTCTCCTCACTAACCAGACCCTCCTGCAGAAGAACCATATCATCATTGACTTTGCATACCCACACAGTTTATCTCGTGGTATATATTTCTTTTGGAGCATTCTCGAAATACTACCCCGCTGGATGCTGATTTTGTTTTCAGACAGATCACGAAGCTGCCTAGCACAAACTCGCTGAGTTAAGTTACAACTCCGTTCTCGAATTCTGTATGCCTGTATGAAATCTTTCAGAAACTGTTCTTGGTTTGCGGAAAGCTTGACAACATTTTTTGCCCATGATCCATTTCATTTGCAGCGGAAGAGCCTTTTTCGACCCCACAAACATTATCTTCTCTGCAATCAGCTGTTGGTTCGCTCGAATGCGAGCATACAAGTACTGGTCAAGAAGTAGACTTCGTTTGGAGATGTCCATCCTTTTCAGGATGTAATGATAAGAACGGCTTGTTCATCGATACTAAACCAATATAATATGATTATTTTATTTAGTCTTTTATTTATAGGCGAACAGGTATAAAACGAAAGTTAATTCCTTTTCACTTACGACATGTTTTATGATGAACTTCAATTGTTGCTGTTGTTCGTCTTTCCCGTTTGGCTATTCGTCTGATAAGATTGTTCCATAAAACAACACAGCTCCACCATTGTCGAGAGAAGTATTGTGCTAACTCTGGGCTGTATAGAGGGTTGAGGAAGCGACCATTGAAGTCTGGCACTATAGGAATCTTTATGCGGAGATCAGGTATAACCAACATGTAGCCAGTTCTATAATGTCTCAGTTGAAACTGTTTAGTGATCTGAGGCTTTTAGTCAGCATTCACTATAGCGAAAGTCATGTGACATACAATACACATGTGCAACAATGGCCTTTATGTTCGATCATTTTATCCTAACTTGTTTAAGATTTTCTGAATGACTACGGTTGTAGTTGCAAGCCAACGATCTTTCTCGTTTAGAATTTTGGTTATTGTCGACTTTCCAATATTGTATTTTTGGTTGTTTATTGTTGGATCGGATTTTTTTGCTTCGCAAATTTCACGTTTTTGAGCAGCAGAGAGAGATGTCCTTTTTTTGCTTTACATATTGTTTATCGAGTAGCTTTGGTACCAAATCATTAAAATCGAGGATTATTTATAATAATAAATATAAGACGTTACACCCCGAAAACTTTGGCTAATGGCCTAATCATACAATAATTTCCCCGCCATGTTTGTGTGACAGTCTACAATAGAAAGCATATGAAATTTCGATTTAGGCTAGTTCTTTATTAATAAATTCACTATAAGCAGATTTATTATTTAATAAAAATTCGGTTTGGTTCACTACAGCCAGAGTTCCGTTTAACCAAGATTCACTATAAACTGGGGTATTGTTGATTTAATAGCCAATTCCAACATTTTGTCTCCTTATCTGTCTCTTAAAAATGTAGTCCTTGTTAAGACAAGACAAAGTTTGAATTTTCATTTATAGTGATCAAGCCATGATCACGTATGCATTTAACTAGTGTGGATCAGATAAATAAGTCACACGGTAAAATCTTGTAAGCTGTCCGCGGAACGAGAGTTCATAATTGTTGTTATTATTCTATTAGAGGTACCCTTATTTGTATTCACGAGTGTTTGAAACTCGGACAGGGAGTAACACGCATAATTAAAATAGGTCACTTGGCTTAATTCAGTCTTAATTGCACAACTATCGTAGTAAGGGCGATAGTACGAGCTAAGCCTGGTAACATCCCTCGGTCGGCGAACACACTTACGCGAAAGATAAATCGCTCTCCTATCCGATATAAGTATCCTATTCCTAGATAAATACGTAAAGCAAAAAGTATTCTCTGTCGCCACGACGGTTATATAACATGTGTCATTATGTAGACTTAGCTTTACTTCGCAATAACTACAGTATATTCTCGATTTTAGACCGTTTTGATTGTTTAAGATTTATGTTCTAATAACCAAAGCCAGGTGAATAAGTTTATAATATTTTACCAAAAATCAAGGCAGGCGGATTATATTTTCATAGACACCGTAAAGCATAGTAATTCTTTATTTTAAAGTATCGCGTTAATTAAACAATTGAGTCTCTTGATAATTCTGCTTGAGTTTGCTGCAAAAAGAAATTGCATACCTTGATCCTAAAGTTCTATTATTCTTTGCATGGCTTAATTCTCAGTTTACAAATCTGTTTACTGAAATGCTTTGCTAATTATAAAAAGTTAATTCAAATTAGTAAAAATAATTTAACCGACTTCTCCATTACTATTAGTTGAAAGGCAAGTTAAGTATCTGTTTACAATTGGAATTTTCACAATGACTGGCCAAATTTGCAGACAAATTAAAAGAATATGTATTTATACAAAGAAGGAAAAAGATAGTATTAAAAAAATAAAGGATACGGTAAGCAATGAAGCATGTAACCCTCAAATAATTTTCATTTGAAAAACCTTTACGAGTTGGCCCCGTTGTGGATGCATTACTAGAAAATTTCAATATTCATTTCGTAATAAAAGTGAAGTTTTTCGGGCGCTAATCGCGAATTACATACGTAGCAACATCTTTTCCAGTATCTTTTCCAGTACTGCCGAGAAATCATTATATTCTACTACAACGCTTATAAGGCTTGCTTTCTCTAAAATTTCCATCCAACGCAACAACTAGCTCATGCTGGGTCTTTTGGAAAAGCTTGTTGGCAATTTCATCTCTTTAATCTATTTCAAACGTGCCCGAATGGTAGACTCTGTGCAGCGACATTAATATTGTCTTTCCATTAGCCAATTTTGCCGTATTAGTTGATTTGAAATACAAGTATGTTGTTTAAGTTACCAAAAAGAAAATAGAACCTTCTGTATACCCACTTGGCAAACATATGTTGCCCCGGGCTTTATCAATTGAAGTAATTCTGGAACGTCTCTTATCATATTATTAATTTTGCTAAAATCTAAAAATTCAACCTCCTCGCCACATTGCATGAAATACAAAGATAGGCCACCAAATGAATTTATAGCAGGCAAATCTGGTTTGTTTGTTTTTTTTTTTTTTGTGAAATCGCTGAGAACAAGATATCCATCAAGGTGATAAAACGCGATCAGTATATTTAATATTCTAGCCAATATTAAGACTGAAAATAGAAGCCTCAATGGTTATCGAAGTCAGTTACATGAATGTTAGAGTTCCCATGACAATTGTCTTTGCATTCATACAATAACACTAGACGCCACAAGGAAATTAAGCAAGAAGGATCGCGTAGAAGCATGCTCCTCTCCGAGTTGCCCTTAATGGATTAAAATCGCGCACACGAGTAATATCAACTTTACTAGCATTTGAAATACGTAGGAACATGGATGATAAGATTGTCCTTCTGAGTTAAATATCACCGGCACATTTTGTCAACCGAGTGACATTTGTAGCAATTCATTCTTTCGATATCCTAGTCCTGATATATCTTAATGATATTCTAACAAACTTTATTTGAATTTCCAAAAACTTGTCAAAATTACACTCATCATTTTCTTCGCGTCAATACTTTCTCTGTGAGTTGTATCAGTGCGTTTCTTGCATCGGACTCGGGCAACTGTAGGACCGCCTCTGCAGCCTTCCGGCAATGAGATGCAGCTAGAAGCTTAGTCCGTTCAAGTCCCTGACTTTTGTAAACAAGTTCTCGAGTCTATAATGATTATAAAAATTATTAGGGCATCACATCGATTGCATCACCAAAAACTGATATCATGACTTAATTTACCCTTTCAACGTCTTTTTCTTTTGAAAATTTTCTTTCAATCAGTGGACCAAGCTCAGGGAATTGCTCCCAAGCATACAACACTGGAGCTGTAGCAAGGCCAAGCTTGAGATCAGCCCCAACAGGTTTTCCCAGTTCAGTTTGACTGACCATAAAATCCAACATGTCGTCAACCAGCTACACGGAGACAAAAGAAGTAATCCTCTTAAATTGAGGATTCTATGAGATGATATATCGAATACCTCAAGACAAGTCTGATTACAATGGATGGTGAGCATTATTGAATACCTGAAAAGCTAGCCCCAAATTTTTCCCATAATTATATGCGATATCAGCTACTTCTTCGGTACACCCGCCTAACACTGATGAAGCTCGACAACTCTTTGCGATCAAGCTTGCAGTCTTCATATAAGTCTTCTCTATATAACGTTCAAATATTGTCTTGTCTGTCTGGGTACTTTTCAATTGCATAAACTCTCCTTCTACCAAATTTGCAATAACCGTAGCAAGCAATTCAATTACTTCCGGATTTCGCAATCTGGCCAGCGCGACTGACGCCCGAGCAAGAAGAAAATCACCCGCAAGTATTGCCATTTTATTTCCAAAGCATACGTTAGCCGATGGTTGATTTCTTCGCGAATCTGAGATATCTATCACATCGTCATGGAAAAGCGATGCGGTATGAATCATTTCAGTTATTTCGGCTAGCCGACGCTGGGTGGGGAGGATGAAAGTGTTGTCGGTCGAAAAGGTTGGGAGATAACGTGCTGGCGTGTCCCTGTCAACGCCTGCCATACCCTCGTTCAATGAAAGCTGTGGGGTGAGAGAAATGTCTATAATTTGATACGTGTCCGCCAAAGTTATGTTATGGTGTTTTGGGGCTATACTTGTCGCTTGAGACATTAACAGCACGATCAAAGGACGGATGTGTTTTCCTTGTGCATTGAAATAATATTTATTGACGGTGTTTAACATTGGATGCTTACTGCCGAGTAGTTGCTTTATATTCTTTGTTAGATCTGTCAGATCTTTTCCTACTAATTGTGCAGGATCGATGTGTGATCCCCCCTTGTGGTTTACGAGATTCTCCGCTTCGGCGATTGCCTGAATCCATGTGGAATTGTCGCTGGATTGATTGAGAGATTTTGTTTTATCGTCGACACGAAAAATTGACGTCTTCAGACGTTCCAGAAAACTTGGCTTTGATGCAAGTCTGTTAGCCGTGTGCACTGAGGCCAGATGTGATTTCCAAGCTCGTAATATATAAATCCATCGTCGTGGTAATGTGGTACTAAGTGACATTTTCTTACTTTCGATGACCTAGTGCAAGCAAGCGTATAGTAATAAGGGGAATTTACAGAATTTTGTTTAAGCAGTGGTCCCAATTTGGTGATGATAAGCAAGTTATTTGGAAATTTATAATTACTTAAGGACCTTTTTTATAAGGACTAGATGCCTATAAGGACCACCTGTGTCGTATATTCTTAATGATTCTACGCAGGACCCGCTGTTTATAAGGACCGATTTGCTTTGCACGAGGTGGTCCTTATAAAGAGAGTTGACCGTACCAAGATATGTATGGATAGATTTGGCAAAATTTTTTGATTTATTACTTTGCACTTGCGATATATCGATATCAACAGATGATTCGGCAGCAATTACAGATTATTGAATTCTCAGTATACAAATACTCAGACTTTTGATAATAGAACTTTTTGGATATTCTCTTAATATTACGCGTTTTAGTGAGAAGACTATTATTCAAGTTTTCAATTGTTGATGATGTGTAAGAGATGTTTATAAATTGAATTCTATTGAGCGTAGTATAAAGTCTAGAATTTACCTTAATAATCATAGTTGAATAGGAACATAAGGTCGCGTAGGGAAAGTTTATCACCCTTAACGACCTTGTTCTCCAAGACACCATCCGCCAATTCTTTCTATATTGATCATAAGTAAATGTTTGGGTAATGAGATTACGACAAATTTTCAGTGGGAATCGAGCTTACCTTTTTCTGTTGCAACATCATTATACGATCTTCGACTGTATCCGCAACTGTTATTTTGCTGACATAGACTGCGGACATTTGACCAATTCTGTTCTCGCGCGAGGAAGATGTTAACGAATTGAAAACTGTATACTGGAATAACAACGTTACACTCACCTGTGTACCCGGTCAATTGCCTGATTCTCAACAGCTACAATAACGTTGTTAAACGAGTTAACGAAGAAATTGATGAAAGGATGTATATAAGAAAATCAGTATTTGTCTAAATAACTGGCTGAGGATTGCTGCCCACAAATTGCATCTGGAAATCATCGGCAGAATCACCGAAACGAGTTTGCTTACCAGGATTCCACCTACATCGTAACCGAGAAATATTAGTTAATACGAGTCCCGGTTATTTGTTATCGTATTCCAGAATCACCTACCATACATCCAAGAGAATAACATAATTTGCACAAGTCAAATTGAGACCAAGTGATCCGCATTTGAGTGAAAGCAAAAGTACAGTGATATTATCACGTTCTCGCAAAAGATTGAGGTTGTTGCTACGTTTCTTTTCAGGCATGCTTCCATCATCTGTTGTTAAACATTGTCAGGTTTTGTAATCTCAAAGTAATAATATCATTCATAGTTGCTCACACATACATCTTACAAATTCGAAGCCTGCTCTGGTTAATGGGTGTTCGATTAAATCTAGCATGCTGGCGAACTGAACAAATGAAAGCAAGCTATTCAGTAAAGAAGCAACGACCATAAGAATAATTAATGTTTATTGTATTACCTGAGAAAATATGATCGTCTTCGCCCGAGGATTATCACGTCGGGTTATAGACAGTATCTCTATCATTTTATCAATTTTAGCTGATGACACGAAGCCGTCGTGTGTGGTCGCCTTCCGTACAATCTCTTTTGTGCACTTTGCACAATGTACTTGTTCAGATATATCTAGTCTGGAGCGACGAATATTGAACTGTAAGTCACATGCCGCATTTTGTAAGCTCAAAGAATTTCGTGTAATTGATTACCGGTCGAGGCAAATTTCACAGCATTCTGATGAATTGCCAACAGCCATGCTTGTCATCAGCTTGGCAAGATCGTTTAATTCTTGGTCTTGGAGTTCAGCTGACTCTGATATAGGTTTGTCTTTTGCGTCCTTTCCGGCAGCTTCTTTTGAAACAAGATTTGGATGATTACAAGCTTTCATAGAAGAAATTATTTAAATACTTTAGTAAAGTCGTCATTAGATTTCTAAACCAACATATTCAATGGATTTACCCTGACGTAACCTTAATAACAAAACAAGGATATTAGTAAAATTGTTATTAAGTGTGCCTTCTTTGACATATCGATTTAGTGTCAACTGCGTCCGGTTTGCAAGCGATTGATAAAAGTCGCGCTCCTCGGGGGAAAATTGGACGACTATATTCTCAACATTTCGTTCAGGAAGTGTAAGCAATGGTTTACCGTCGATAAACGTATTCTTGGTGCGTCTAAGCATAACAGCTTTCAGTATTATCTAATAAAAGCGTATTCACCAGTAAGAAGAGTATGCGTTTTACCAAAGTATCAAGGACGTTTGAATTATTATTTACCTGTAATCGTTTAAACGATGTCCCTATTCGTCCATACTGTATCGGTTGCATTATTGTTTTTTTGAAAGTGTCATAGTTGTTAAGCGGTTCTATTCTCAAAAACCGAAAGAGACTATACAGTTCATCTAGATTGTTCTGAAATTTTTGTCAAGTTACTACGGGTTGGAAAATAGTATCAAGATTTCTATCATGTAGCGTTGCAGTACCTGGATTGGGGTTCCCGTCAAGCACCATCTTTTTAAACCATCCAGTGCATAACAGCCTTGAGCCGCCATGGTATTTCTATTCTTTATGTACTGAGCTTCATCTGAATCAAACAATCAGAAAGATTCAATTGCACGCGTATACCAAATATCATCCCCCAAACCTTGGCTTCACGTACCCAAAACAATACGATGCCACTTGGCCTTAAACAAAGGTCCGGCATATATCAAACTGACGGAATTATCTTCTTCTTTCTTCTTTCCCTTGGATTTTGGCGGAGCAGGCCATTCACTAGCAACCACTTGGTAAGTTGTGATAACTACATCATATTTCGCTAATTTTCTTGCATCTTTAATCAATGCAGAAATAGATGTTCATTGGGAAAAGGCTCGACGTGAGTATGTACACTTTCAAGAAATGAGCATAGAGTTAGTGCAAACCTTTCGTTTTTGCCGGACCATGATGTAGGTACACAGACAACGATTTTTCTTTAGTTTTACTAACAATTTCATTCTCCCATTGACGAATGAGTGACAAGGGAGCAACAATCAGTGTCATTTTTCGTTCTTGATTCGATTTGTTTGACAGAATCAAAGCAAGCGTTTGAATCGTCTAATTAACAAGTATCAATTGCATCATGAGTAGCTATAAAAGCGTAAATATAAGTAAGCATTAAAGACAAGATAAGATGCTGCAGTTACCTTTCCTAGACCCATCTAAAACCGAATGTGATATCAAGAAGCATGATTAGAGTTTGAAACAGCATCAAATAGGACATTTCTTATACGCGCGCGCGCGCGCACGCACACACACACCACACATACACATACACACATATATATAAACTACTCACATCCTATAATTTCAGTAGTTAATAAATAAAGAATTATTATTTCAGTCAAACGCATGACAAACTGTGGAGAGAAGAGAACGTAAAAACTCGTAAATACATCAGCTAGTATGCCGCCGTTCTTTTTCTCCCCCTCTTCGCGATCTTTCATCCAATTTAGGCCCTGCGTTTGATGCCTCATTAGGCTGATAGTCATTTCAGAAGGTGTTCCCTCAGTGAGGGCACAATCGTCGACTTCATCCGGAATGCTCTCTAAAAGTTCGCGTATTTGATTTTGAGTATCGCGTGGATCATAACGAGAATATCGGCTGTCATAAATCTGGTCGAAATTGGTCATAGTACTGCGTACCAATAACAGCATTGTTAAATGCGCGTGCGTATAGCGATATCATGGGCAAAAATTATTATTACGATATCAGTAAACCAACTTATCCCGCGCTGACACGTACTTTCCCAAGGTACTTGAAGCTGGCTTAAAAGGGCCGCTAATCGAACTCCCCAAACGGGATATGCCTTTATAATTCATTAAGAGACGTGAGCAATAAAGCTAGCTGTTTACGTAAGTACGACTAAGTTTTCGCTCACAAGTTCCACAATTAGGACTTACCAACATTGGCGGCATTTTCGCTGCCGTAGGCTCGCGATTGCAAATTCACGTTCCATGGTGGTACGTCCAGCGGTTTCTTCATCTGAGCCTGATTCTTCTTGTGCTTTACGGGGAAAACTTCGGGCTGTGTGTTGCTTTCTGTCAACGCTATATCAAGGGATATATTAAGTCAGAGGCCGAAAAGATCTCGGCGTGTACCAAATCCGAAACTAACCTCCAAGCGCGGAATGGATTGTTTGCTTTGCAGTGGGTTCCATTATGTGAATTGAAAGAAGGTGGTCAAAAATCAAGAGATGTCGCGCTAATTGTTAGAAATCAACTTATTCCAAATTGGGCGACCAATGTCAACAGGTTATTGGACACTATTGGACACGATTGTGTTTTAACATCAGTATCACATGATAGAACAGGAAACTACGATTGATTAATATCTTTTATGTCCATGAATAATAAGTTTCTCAACAAGCACGAGCCAGATGTGTCCATTTTGTTTCCCAATTTTTATTACCTAAAATAGACATCCAACCCAAATTTGGAAAGAGAGAAAAATCGGA